TTCTACTATGTGGATGTCTACATTGAAGGACAGTTTGGGAGACCAGAAACTCAGGTGGTAACCAGGTAACTTCTGGACAAAGGGAGGATAAGGTGCAAACTTCAGTCCATTTCAGGGCTTGAGAATGAAGAGAGAGGAGCCTGGGGTTGGGGGATGAGTGGGCAGAAACAACAGAGGGAGAGAGAGGGAACAGACAGAAACAAGGGAGCCGTCAGTGGGTGTGTATTACTAGTTTATTTCTGTATCTTAGGATGTTTTGAGCCATTAAACAGCTAGGAGGACAAGGAGAGACAGGGCCTCCCAGGGCCCGCCCATTCTCAGAGACAGCAAAGAATTTCAGATGCAAACAAACCCAACCTGAGCCCATATTTCCAGCCACCCGACCTGCCCCAAATCACCCAGGACCTGGGACCAGACACACAGAGACCACGCCCACAGGCCCATCCCCCAGACTGACACACACCAGCTGGTCCTCAACTGCTCACCCTGCCCTGCCTTGCGTTTCCCATGGGACCCCAATCAAGGCCTTCACTAGGCGGCCCTGCACCTGCATCTGCTTCCTGAGGAAATCTGGGGCTTTAACTCCAGGCAGAGCCAGACAGCTCGGCCCCACCTGCACCTCAGGGCCAATCCCTGACCTTCCCCGGGGGAGACAGGCCTTCTCACCTGGTGTAGTAGAGCCAGGTGAGGACGTAGGTGAGGAGGAAGCCAGCCCCCATGAGGGCCCCTCTGATCAGGGTGAAGACCAGGGGCCAGGAGCCCTGCTGGTCCTCGGTCATGCATCTGCTGGAGTGTGTGCTGCCTGGGGACATAGGAGATGGGTGACGTGTTGTCCAGGTGGTCAGTCCGCCCACATTCCAACACCTGACCAGGCAGCCGGCCCCACACCTGTCCTGCACCACACTCTGCACAGAGAGGCTGAAGGAGAGGAGCTGGGAGCCCAGCGGGTGCTGAGCCCGGCAGGTGAACTCCCCTCCGCCTCCAACTCCACGTGGGGCAGCTCCAGGAGCCCTGGTGCTGAGGACTGGAGGGGCTCAGGGCTTGTTCCTCCAGCACCAGCTCAGGTGACACCACCCACTCCCAGGACTCAGTCTCTCCTCTTCCCTCCTCCTTGCTGAAACCACTGAGGGTTCTGCTCAGGCAGGAGATGGAGAGCCCTGTCCTAGCAATCTTCCCTGTCCCCTCTCAGCCCTCATCTCCCCCAGCCCCACCCTCTCTCTGGCCCAGTCCTTTCTCCCTTGCCTCTGCCCCCAGCTGGCCCTGACCTGGCAGTAACAGGACAGAGGCACCCTGGGCTCCATGGACAATCCTGACCTTAACAGCTGGATCTGAGTCCCTCACTGAGCCCCACACCCCGGCTCAGGGAGCTGTCAGTCCAGGGCCCCTCTGAGCAGGAAGTAACTGAGGGTGGGAGGTGTTGCCATGGTTCCCCTCCAGGAGCCCCGCCCCCAGCCGCCAGCGCAGGGAGGGGACCCATTGGGCCCTGGAGGAGCAGCTGCAGTGCAGACCCTGTTCCTGCCAGGAGCAGGAGGGCCCCAGCAGCTGCGGGGGGTCAGTGAGGAGCGAGGAGAAGGGTCAGCGGTGCCTCTAACATCTCCAGGCACTGAGGCGACCTACTCTCAAGTGTGCCCGCCCCCCTGCCCCATCGCCACCCGTCTCAGTCCACTCCCCACTCACAGAACACGGAGAGGTTGAGAGGGACGCTGTGGGAGCCCAGCGGGTGCCGAGCTTGGCAGGTGAACTCTCCTTCCTGTGCAGGCCCCACGCGAGGCAGCTCCAGGATCGCGGTCCTGGAGAGGGGGGTGGTGTTCAGGCCTGTGGACCCCCGGAACCAGCTCAGCTCGGCAGGGGGGTTGCTGTCAGCCTCACAGCGCAGCCTCAGGGCCTCTCCCTCCAGGATGGTTAGGGATGTGGTTTGTAGATTCTTGAAGGCTTTGGGTAGAGAAATGCAGAGAGAGAGAGAAGAGAAGAGAAGAGAAGAG